GGGTTGGGAACAGGGTAAATGCTGGAGCCAGTCACTTCTCAGCAATGATAAATGTGAAAAGGAGCCTTGGGTTCTCTTTGGGAGGGATGATGTGTGTGTGTGTATATATATCTTCACATATATATGTGATTTATATCTGATCCTGTAATGGGCTTCAGTTGGAGGGGTTGGTGTTTGGTGTTGCCCTGGGACTTGCTGTCATGCCGGAGCACCTTGTGGGACTGGGATGATGCTCGGTTGTTCAGTTTGCTTCCCTGCAAGCGCAGAGGACCATGGCGCTTGAGCAGACATCATGATTGCAGGGTATATTTAATCTGTGTTTCCCATGTATCCAGTCCCAGTTCTGCTTGATCCCAGTCTGAGGCGTGCAGAGGTTTCTGCTCCATTTCTCAGCGTGCGTATGCAGCACCCATAGCACGCTTAATGTAATATAACACCGCCTGCAGTGTAAAAAAATCTTCTCAATGATTAATAAGACTTACTGCTACTCTTTTTTTATTTATTCCATGTGGCCCTTTGGCCGTTATTTAGCACACTTCATAAACCCTGCCTACCACAAGCAAATTTTCCCCGCAGGAGGTAAATCTTTGTTTTATCCACCCCCCCAGAATCACAGGCAGAAAACTGGAGCAGTTTCACGTTTCCATCAGCATTGCGGCCGCCAGCAAAGTCACTTTTGAGCTGACATATGAGGAACTGTTGAAGCGGCAACTGGGGAAGATCGAGCTGCTGATCAAGGTCCGACCGAAGCAGCTTGTTGAGCACTTCCAGGTGAGCTGCCCTGGTGCGGGCTGGGCAAGGAGCGGCACGGTGTCTTTCGGGCATGGTCGTGTACCCTCTGAGATGCTGATGCCAACTTCTCTGCTGTCAGATTGATGTGCACATCTTTGAACCCCAAGGCATACGCTTCCTGGAGACAGACAGCACGTTCATGACAAATGAGTTAACTGAGGCGCTCACAAAAGTGCAGAACGAAACCAAGGTAAAGCAGCGGCTGCCAGACGTTGCTGCCAGTGGCAGCTTTAAGTTATGTTGCTTTAGATCTTTTCTTCTGATCGCTTTGCAGGCCCATATTTTATTTAAGCCAACTGTAGATCAACAGAAGATAAATCCTGAACTTGATGAAACCCTCCTCAATGGTGATTTTGTTGTGCGTTACGATGTTAAGAGAGAGGCCACTGCAGGGGATATACAGGTAAAAAAGAAATAGAAATAAAAATGCTTTCAGATCATAGATATGTCTGAATGTGAAGTGCAGTCACAGCAAAACAGCAACATTTACTTTGAAACACCAAGGGTGACAGGAAAAGCTGTTTCCATTAGTCCAGGGTCAGTAGGAGCTGATGGCGTTGTTCAGCAAAGCCCCAGAGACACCAGACACATTGCAAGAATGGATCATCCATGCAAAAAAAAATCAATCTTTCATTTTTTGTTTCAATACCAAGTCTATATTGCCACTTTATAGATGTGTGTCTCTCATTCTTTTTGGTTGTTATTTTGGCTCATCTAAAGTGTATTTGTGACTTCTTGTAAATGAAGTTTAGAGGAAGGTGATTTATATAACTATTAAAATGACTGCTTGGTTTTCTTTTCTTTCTTGTGACAACTGAGGCATAACTAAAGAGAGCAAGAACTTAAAAATATTCACAGACCGATGCATATCCTAGGGAATAAAGTACATTATTTTCCATTCCATTTCACTAATGAAGTATACATGGATGTGCTAAAAGATGACAGTCTCAGTCAATGAGCAGAGATGTGCTCATAGATGTTAATAAAGAGGTAACATAATATACAGTGATAATACAGATATACGCCTCAGTGACATATGTATGATATAATATCTATTTTTTTTATTTTAGAAAGTAATTTGCTCTCCACAGGTAGTCTCGCTTCCAGCTAGGAAATACATTTAAGCCCCTTTGAATTGGGCTTATCTAGAACGACAGAATGCTGAGCATGCACCCCCTTCCTGCTATGCCAGAACATTAAAAAGCAATATTTATTTATTTAGATACAATTTTATACATGATTTCACATTCTGTATTTCAGATTGTCAATGGGTATTTTGTGCATTACTTCGCACCCCCTGAAATGCCGGTGTTTCCCAAAAATGTCATCTTTGTTATAGATCGAAGTGGCTCCATGGCAGGCAGGAAAATTGAACAGGTGAAGTACTGACCTCTGCTTGCATCGGTCACACACACCAGCCTTTCGAGGAAGTGACTGTGAATTTCGCATTTGAAACACATGCTGGTTTTGTACACAGCGATGTTTTCAGACATACAGAAATGCTTGAAAATGTGTATGTACAGATTTAAGCTATTAAAGAGCAACGCTTTGCTGATACAGCCATTCTCACGGGTATCAAACATTAAGGCAGAGAGCGTTTTTTCTGTGTCTTTGCAGAATATCTTGCTTCTAATTCTTTCCTTTAGTGAAGTTTATGGAATTAGTTTGTCTGTTTTGCCTGTATTAATGACTGTGTGTGTAGCTTTGCTAGAGAGCAGACAAGCCCACCTTTTTGTGTCTGTAAGTGAAGTGAATCGGCCATTTCTGATGGTCTCAACCTGAAATACACCATTAGGAGTAAATAAGGGCTTTGGGCTGCATCTTGACTAGTGCAGTAGAGAAACACCCTTATTTCACTGCAATTCCAATCCCAGTTCTGGCAGAGAAGTAGAAATATTCAACGTGGTTGTTCTCTCCTTGGAACAGACGAGGGATGCTCTGTTGAAGATTTTGAAAGACCTCCGCCCAGAAGATCATTTCAGCGTTATCACCTTTAACAGCAAAGTGGTGGAGTGGAAAAGCTCTTTGCTGCAAGCCACTGCAGAGAACGTGGCAAGTGCTGCAGGATTCGTGCAAACTCTTTCTGCTAGTGGAGGTACAAAGCACGACCTAGATGCTTGTAACCACAAACATGCACCCAATATAATATATTGCTTAGAAAAAAATTAGTGTTTTTACTAATCATATAGTGCCACAGAACTACCATCAGTGCTCACAAAGCAAGTAAGTTCACATGTGATTTTTGATATTTATGTGAGTGACAAATGGGATAGAAAGGCTGATTCGGGGCGGGGTGGATGAATTATTGACTATGATACGGATATAGGGGAGAGATGGCTAGATCACATCTATGAACCATACAAGCCACCAAGATTTGTTTCAGATTTTTATAACAGAGAGGGCTGACAGATTTCCAATAGTACATTTTTTTCTGAAAAATGGTAATTTGCTCAAACATTTCACAATGATTTGCTGATTTTTTTAATGTCAAGGGTCCCCTTGTAAAATAAAACCCATCTAAAGTTACACTCCCATGTAAGCCACGCTACAGAAACGAAATAGTCAAAATAGGCTTGAAGCATTTCAATTGCTGCATCAGTGTGCTTAGTTTTATTATTTATTTTTAAGCACGTATAAAAGGCTATATCTCTTGTTAATGTTATGCTGTTAATATTAATGTAAGTTTTCTTATCCCAGGAGTTAATACCGATAAAGCCCACCTGTGCCTATGTCTTTTCTTTGACTTCTCAAATAAGGCTAGGAGACTTTTCTTAAATTTACGTTAACAGATGACAGTGTGTTTATTCAAGCACTTATTAGTGGCTCTAGACATGTTTGTGTTTCTCATGACATAAGTATGGAAAATGCTCCCAAAAGAATACTCCAGCATTGCCATTGCAATATAATACACCGTAATTAAACCCAGTAGGCTAAACCCCTAAATCCTTCTCTCTCTGAAAGATTGCTTCCTGCAGAAAACTTTAAACAATTCTGCAGGGCCTCTGCAGATGAAGTGCACCAATTTCTTTGGATGATTATCCTTTTTAGGTGAGTGATGCCCGCTTTCTCATTACAGGCACGGATATCAATCGTGCCCTGCTGACTGCCGTGAGCGTGCTGGATAAAGCCGAGAGGCTGCCAGAACAGAGTGTCTCCATGATTATTTTGCTGACAGACGGCCAGCCCACTTCTGGTGGGTAAATCCTAGCCTCAGTCCTCTCTCTCCTTGATTTTTTTAAATCTTTTACACTTGCATCCCAGATGTTCATATAGTCTGTGTTTCAGAAGAGCTTTGATATAAGCAAGCTGGGCTGGATGTGCGTTGGAGGGAGGATGATTATGAGAGGGCTCTGGCAAGGGCTGTAAGAAGTGATGGCAAAGCCTGCCTGCCCGTGACTACTCATCCCTTAGCTGCGAACTGTTTTGCTAAATACCATTGGCTTCCTAATTTATAAACTCAAGGGAGTTGTTGGAGATACTCCAGGCACAGCTGAAATGTGAAAGTAAAATACTTAGAGCTGAAACATGGACATTTTGTATATGTATACAGTATACATACAGTATATGGACATTACGTACAGTCCCACTGGAGAAGTATTGCTTACATTTCTTCATCTCCCTTGCCCCAAACCTGAGATATTTTCAAGGTGCCACTTGTTTTGTATTCTTTTCCACGTCTAGCTCTTAACTGGTGATCAGCTGGCATAGCACAAACCAGAGGGTTGAAATAGAAATATTGGGTTAAATAAACAGTAACTCCCAATGCAATGGCACAAACATCACTTGTTCTGAACAGGAGTTTGTCTAAGTTTTGTGTGGCACCAGCACCTCTCCAAGGCCAGCAATATTAATTCAGCTGTAAGCCCTCAAATAAGATCAGTCTCCCTTTCAGATCGTGTGATCCATACTGCTTTGGGGTTGGTTTATTTGTTTGGGTTTTTAAATAAAACTCAGCTCCTGGTGCTGCCTGCTCAGCAGAGCCACAATGAGTCTCACATATCCCCGAGCACGTTGCACCATCCACAAGTTGGCTAGAACTCAGGCCGGCGTGGAGTGCCAGACGAATACATGCAGCGTTACTGCATACACTGCCTGCCTTGGCAAAGCAGGCTGAAAGGGAAAAATTGGAGCTGCTCCCATCATATTGCTACAGGCAGTGACAGTTCCTGCCTGGAAATGTTGATAGAGAAGCTCTCCATACAGGGCCGTCAGCAGCTCTTCAAATGGGTTAAGAGCATGGTGTGAAAATCTTTTCCCTTTGTCACGCAGAGGGGCTGGGAGAGAAGCAAGGCGGAGTTAATTTGTAGTTTGTGTGAATTTTACCATTAACCAATCCATTCCTCTCTGAATTCACGCACGTAATTTTTACAGATTATACTTGTCTTCCCAACGTTTGATCAAGTGTTTCCACCCCTTGAGCTGTTGACTTGTATGTGTCCCTTTTCTCTTAAAAACCTGCTCTGGCCCCCATAATCTTGTAAAATATTTTGCACTTAACTATGACGACATGAGTGGAAATCAGTAAAAGTCATTAAGGGGGAGAATCAGGTTCTGCCACTCTGAATGCAGAGTGGTGCGTTCATCTCCAGTTCATTTAATGGCATTCTGTCCCATATATTTTTAATATTTTCTTCTGAATGATTTTTAAAATTCTTTAGGCAGTTTTTGCCACTAAACCCACTTGCTGTCTTTTTGTGCTTTAAAAAACCAAACAAACAAGGGTATGTTTTTGTTTCCATTACAGGTGAGAGTAATGTGGGAGTCATTCAAGAAAACATTCAGAAAGCAGTCAATGGGAAATATGCTCTTTTCTGCCTTGGCTTCGGGTTTGATGTCAGTTATAAGTTTCTGGAGAAAATGGCCCTACGCAATGGGGGAATAGCACGTCGTATATATGAAAACGCTGATGCAGCCTTACAGCTCCAGGTCAGGAGGAAGGAGTATGCCAGAAAAGCCTTCTATCAGCTACACCTTATGTCTAGTCTTAGCCGCAAAACCACAGATTTTCTGAGATGAAAAGTTGGGTTTATCTGTTAATTTTGGGGAGGGAGGAAGGCAGTTTTGGGGTATCTGAGGGTTGGTACCCTAACCAGGACTCAGACTCAAGAAGTCCTCCTCAAATCAGCTGGAAACTCACACATTTCTGTACCTCTGCAAAAAGACAAATTGTCCAGGGGAGGTGATGGTGGAAAAACTTCTGTTCTTGGGTCCAGTTTCAAACTGCTTGAAGTACCACCGTTGGAAGCTGTTTGTTATGGTTTCCCTAAAAATCACCAGGTAGTTTGAGGCACCTAACAGGCAAACTGGCTCTGCAGTACCACCAGCCTGGGTCTTTCCTGTCCATCTGGAGAGGGGTTATAACTTTCGGGACATTCTCTTTTTTTTGGGGGAAGCCACGTCTACCTGTTTTGGCTGGATATACAGAGACTGGATTTGCTTAATGCCAGCCCCAATCCAGAAAGAGAAATATTAATCATTGGAATTAGTCAAGTTTAAAAAATCGAATGTGAAAAGTGGCTAAAGCAAAACACCTACCTGGGTGGGATGGTGATAATGGGGATGCTGCTTGGGTACTTGAATTACCATGGGAAATACAAGTTTATTTGGCATCTCCAGCCTGACTGGAGAAGGTGTGTGAACCTTGTGAAGAAATTTTGTTTGTTTGTTTAAGTTTGCAGCAGTCTTACACCACTGAAGGAAAAGCTTTGCTCCCTTCTTTTTAAGGGGGTTTTAGGCATTCAGTATATTGCTTTGCGTAATTTTGCAGTCATTTGTGTGCGTACTCTCTCTCTGCTTCTCTTCAGGGCTTTTATCAAGAGGTGGCTACCCCAATATTAATGAAAATTGAAATGCAGTATCCAGAAAATGCCGTTGAGGGATTAACCAAGAACAATTTCAAGCTGTTTTTTGAAGGATCTGAAATTATAGTATCTGGAAAAATTAGCAATGAGCTTGATCTTTTGCCAGTAGAAATTAAAGCTCAGTCAGTAAGTGTTTAGTTTACTAACTGTGAAAAACATTATCTCCCTTCTGTCTTTTATGGTGCAATAGGAGACCTCAGGAAGTCTTTCGTGTGCAGTATATGTTCTCTGCATTTGGGGATTCAGCTATTTTCTCATTTTAGGAAAATATCTGAGAATTCAAACAACTTTCCCCTCCTGAATTTGCTACAAAAGAAAAAGCTTGACGTATGTCCACAAATAAGCAAATTAGCAATTTTAATCCTTTCAAACTATAATATTTTGGCCTTCCAAGCACTTTTGGGAAACTGTTTTGTATTTTCAGAATGAAGAAGGGAATCTGGATTATTAATCTAAAAAAATGTTTCAATAGAACAATTTCATTACCTCCTTTTTTCAACATTGTTTCAAGCCCAGAAATACATATCCAAAATACATGCTGCTTTGGTAGTTTGGACTTGCGTTTTCCAATGGGAAAGGACAAGATTGAAGCACAAAAAGGGCGCTTTGGTACAGAAAGATGTTCTTTTAAGTCTAATAATGTGACTATAAAAGAAGTCTGGAACTGTTCTTTTGACAGTCAGTTTTCTCCCACTTCAGCATTCTAGTGACTTGACTCTTAAAGAAGAAGCCAAAGTCAAAGAGAAGGAGGAAGTATTTCAAAATCAAAGTTACATCTTTGGAAATTTCATAGAGAGACTGTGGGCTTACTTAACCATTCAACAGCTTCTGGAAAAATCGTAAGCTATTTTAATTTTTTGTATTATAAATTTCTAACTTCTTAAAACACAGATTCCTTATTCACAAATTATATGATCGGAAAACACAAACAGAAATATTTCTGCAGATAGCATTAAAAACATAGTATACTGGAAGAATACTACATTCCTGTGTGAGCAACATGAGGTGCCTTTCAGGTTATGATAGTGCTGTATCATTAAATGTGTGTGTGTATACACACACATATGAAAACATGATAGAAAATACTCTTCATGACATTACTGTGAAATAGATTTTAATTGCATTGATTGTGTTGAGCTGCTGTTATGCATCCAGAAATATTGTCTGTAGATAAGTGAACGGCAGTAGCTGGTAAAGACAACAATAAGTATGTCCATAAGACATTTCGTAGATCATACATCTATTATTTTTATGTATTTGAACCATGCATAGGCTTCAGTGTTGGAAACAATTAAACATCTCCATAATTTCAAGCACATGAACAGCTGAGTTATCGCAATAAGACTACTTACCCTTAATAATAAAAAATATCTAAGACACAGCTAATATGAAAAAGAATCTGAAGACGACCAGCGCATAGTCTCTATATGTTATTTCTGCATCATTAACACAGACTTTAGTATTTCAGCACAAGAAGAGGACCAGAAGACCCTGGAGGCACAGGCCTTAGAGCTGTCTCTGCGGTACAGCTTCGTTACGCCCCTCACTTCCATGGTGGTCACCAAACCCGCTGGCCAGCAGCAGATGGAGCTGGCGAACAAACCCACCGAAGCTGGTAAATGGGGCATCAAACAGCCCCCATGAAATATGCTGCTGTTATTGATGATTTGTTGTTGACCTCCAGTATAGCTTCATTTTAGAGTGATGTGACGTAGTAATACGCTATATCAGAGACAGGAGTTCAGGGATTATCTTCCTTTCAAAATAAAACACCGTTTTTTTAAAAGGTGAAGTGGTGAAATTGCCATTACTATAGAAACGCAAAATAATTTGTTTAAATATTAACTAAAAGTAATTTAACAGTTGTTACTTAACATTCCTGTCACTGTGAGGGGATTCTGCACTTTCCTCTGTAGCATTAAAGTGGAAAAATGAATGCAGGGGAGGAGAGCACGCTATCGCAAGTAGTCTTGCATGTGCTCTATCCAGCTATCCTTTAACACAAAAAAAAGCTCATCACCTGAAGCCCAACACTCACTTGTCCCAGTTTTCTGGTTTTCACATGGGTAAAGTCATTTGGTTGTTTGACTGTATGTCACTAATCTGTCCCTCTTCCTTGTGTTAGATAATGAGAAGCCCAGCAGTTTTCCAGTAGGAGGTAAATGTTTTCTTCTTTTCCAGTAGTATATTTCCATAATAGTCTCTAAAGGAAAAAAAAAAAAAAAAGAGCTTGTGGTGGTTGTTCTACAGAGGGAATTCTCTGAGATTTGGAAAAATATGCGAAGCAAAACAGAAGCAATGATTGCCAAGTTCTGTGCAGGGTTTGGGTGGATAACATAGTCAAGGGTAGAAAACCTTCCATTCAGAAAGACTCAAAGGCCAAAACTGTCGTTATCTCATGAGGAAAAGCAGTTCTTCAAGTGAACAGTGCTAATGATGTTTTCTGCTTCTTCCTACCATGTGTGAAGCATCTGTCAAAAAATTAAGCTCAAGATATATTGGAATGACTGCTGAGGATGATTTAGGTATTTTTTACTCTCTTTAAATTGAAATAATAGCATATTAATTTTAAACTTCCAGCATTATTAATCTGATAATCTCAGCTATGATAGTACATGATAATAGCAATGCTTTTATAGGTGAAGAGTCCTGGTTTTGCTCTAGTTCTTTCACAGAAATGAATCGAGGGAACTATTATGCTGCCCGGTTCTCTGAAGGTTACCTGTTTCAAAGTGGCGCTGGGGAGTTTAATACCAGAAAACTCCCTGACCAGAAGCACGGTCCAGCGACCATCCTGCCTCGCTCAGGGGACACGCAGGGCTTGGAGCTGCCCTTCCCTCAAAGCTCCCTCTGGCTGCAAGGGAGAAGAGTTTGGGGCCACCTCTGCAGCACGACCTGCTTCCGGAGCAGGTGCCACGCCCTACGTCGGTGTGATGGTCGGGCAGGCACGGCTGCTGGAGGGCACAGGGATGTCCCCACTGGATCTGGGGTTGGTGCCCGCCAGAGCACTGCTGAGCACTGTTGCTCTCCCGGGGAAGAGAAAGAGCAAACAGGATGCTGGACCACTGGGACCAAGGGAGGTTTGATGTGCTCTTTTGGGTATTGTAGTTTCTCCTGTTGAACTCATCTGATTTTTAACTGCCGGTAACAGCTCTTGTCTGGGGCTGCAGCACTCCAGAGGGACCATGTTGTGAGCCTGTGCTGGTGCTGTAGCTCCACATGGATCCAGTCCCTTTGCAGAGCCTCCCACGCCGGGTGCCCCTTCCACCAGAAGCACATGTGCCCTTGCACCAGGGATGGGCAACTCTGCTGCACCGGCACCACCACTCCCCGCTCTTGTCCCCGTGCACCAGGCGGGTGAGGCCCCAGGCATCTAGCAGACAATCAAATCCCTTTTTGCAAATCCCTTAGTTCTTACAAAGTTCTTAGTAGTTTTTGTCCATTTCTGTCCTTTGGCTGGAAATATTTTCCAGGGATCAGTGCTCATGTTTTGTGAACTTCATTACTGCAGATAGTTTGCTTTGGAAAAGGAAGACAGATGCAGCTGGAGAATTACAGATTCGATGTTTGAAACACACCTGTAAGGTATGCAATACAATCATGAATAAAATACAGGTACTGTCTTTTCTATTTGCAGATGCTTATAGACTGAGGAGTGGCTCACCTCCTGGTAAGTGCTCCTCCTTTGTTTTTACTCAGAACAATTTTATAAAGTTCTTTTCTTATGTGGCTTCACAGCAACATTAATAAATACATTGTGATTGTGGATGCCCACTTGATATACAATTAGTTTTTATTATATGTATTTCAGTCCACAGATATTTTATAGTGAACTATAAACTTTTAAAAACAATCTTAGTCCCTTTTCAGAAATAAAAAATTATTATAGTTCCTGAAAATAAATGTGGGGAAAAAATGGAAAAACATATCTTAGTGAGCTGAAGGAAATGGGTGTAAAAAAAAATAATTTTCCAGTCCTGGGGTTTGCTGTGTAAAGCCAATGTGGGGCACAGCCATCTGCATGATGACAGCGGCTGTCCTGTAAGGAGGAAATCACAAGGTGCTGCAGAGACAGAGCTCGGCATTGCCACGAGCTCCCACAGCGCGGAGCAGAGAAGGCGCTGGCTGCTGCCTGCATAGGATCCACACACGTGCGCTTGCGGCTGTATCCAAAAAAGTCAGTGGGCAATGAGCAGGAGGGATTCCCTGTTTAAAGGATGGGGAGGGAGATGCAAGGCACGACCCCAAACCAACAGGGTTTGGAAAACACTGGAAAAACCTTTTGTTTCAGGTCGATGGCGCTCTGAGCCCCAGTCCGGCAGCAACAAGAAGCTGTTGTCAGTAGGTAGTTATTCACAGTCGCGTGCGAGAGGAGCTGGGGTGGGCGCGCTGGGTTCAATGCTGCGTAGCGGCTCTTGGAAACGCAGCTCTAAACCCTCCCGCACCTCGGGCTGAGCATGCCCCAGTGGCATGGTCGATCCTAAGAGACATGGGCACTGGACGTTGTGCTTTTTTTTTCCCCATTGGGACATTTTGTTTTAAGTAAAGCTCTCCATAGAAGTCGGTGAAGAGCCCTGCTAAAAAGGCTTCTGTCACAGCATTCTTCCTGGTTAATGAGCAGACTTAGAGAAAAATGTTTCATTAAACTCTTCTGACTAATTTTAAGTATTTCAGTTGTCAGGCTAAGAGACAAAATGAGAGCACAACCTCTTGGTAAGTAAGACATATACTAGTCCCATTTTAATAATTAATAGAACTGTAATGTATAGTTTTTCATACAATAATGTTTTTCCTGACTGCATCAATTCTATGAAAACCCTTTACCTCTTCTTGCAAACTTTGGCTGGTTCTTTCCACATAAGTGAAAAATATCCCCGTATCCCATGGGAGAGCCTCTCTGGCTTGAGGATATAACCACTAACAGAAATGTAGTACAACAGCTCTTCAGCCGCAGCTTTCTTAAGGGCTCGTTGTCCTTTATAGACTCTAAGTTTAAAAATCTGTTGTTTTCATTCGTATCAAGATGCTGTGCCTGGGTGTGCTTTTCAATAGTTATTACTGTGCTGATTTTAATCATTCTAATCTATAAAAGCTATAAATAATATTTTTGGTATAAACTGATTAAGTAGTTTTGCTGTGCCTATCCAAAGGGCACAGGCTAGATTTTTCTTTGCATGCTAACATTGTTCTTCTGGCTTTTCAGCCAATGAATATCCACAGCTTCTCTTACAATTACCCAGACAAAATGAAATAATCTGTTTAAATACTGACAGAAAAGCACAGCCCTCTGTCCACCTGCTGTCAGATCCAGAGCAAGGTGAGTGAGCCAGATTACCCCTGACACCAAGGACAAAGGAGAGTCACTTTGGTCTACGAGAGCAGTTGGGTCTTTGGGAATAACCCCCTTTTGTGACGTGCCATATCATACCTGCTGCCTTGCAGTGACCGGAGAGGCTGTGGCTCATTTTTCCCCTCTATTAGGCAATATTAACTTTCATTGTGCAGCAGCTGAGGGCACTTCTCACAGGTCTGGTTGTGGGTTTCCTCCTTCTCCTCCTCGTGTCACATCATGGCCTTTAGGCTTTTCCCCTGCCCAGCCCTTGGGGGCTTCTGAGGATGCAGAGATCTTAAAAGCCTGCGGTCCCTACGTGCTAGCAGAAAGATGCACGCTCTTAACGCGCTGCGGTTTTTCCGTGGTTCGGTACTCGGATGAGCCGTGGCCCCAGGCGCCGGTTGTCAGCTGCTCTGGTTATGGAGCAGAGCCACCTCTGCAAGAGGAGGTGGCAATGTGGGGGTAAAGAGATTCTAGTGACCCCACCGCAGCCTTGGGGCACGTGGAGCTGAAATCTGGGGAGTTGTGCCTCTCGAAACTAGATTTGAGACCCTGAAGTTGTTTCAGCAACAAAGTTGAAGCAGTTTTACTATGATCACTCCTACTTGAAAAGCACGGTCACTTGACAAATTGTGCCGATATTATTAAAGGACTCACTGTGACGGGGAAACTTGGAGACAGAATAAACCGCTTTGTGCAGTTTGAAATTAACTATGTGAATCTCCCTGTGCGAATCCACGTCTCCATGGATGAGATCGTCCTAAGCCACAATAACGAGAGCACTCGGCTGCCATGGACGGAATCAGCTACCTCCACCCTCCAGGGGTAAGAAATGTCGCCCCGTCCTTTCCCAAACTTGAAAACGTGTCAGATCTTTTTTCATCCAGATGTGTGCTTTCACATTTGCTTCAAGTAAGTGCCTCCAAATGTCCTTATCCAGTGAGTAACTCCACGTGAGCGGAAGCAGGGTACCTTCACAATCCCCCATTTCAAATACAGGAAACAAAAATGTTTTATTTTAAATCTCCATGCCTGTGTAAGAGAATCAAAACTACTGCACCACCAGCCTGCCTTTCTGCTTCGACATCAGAGGCACAACATTTATCTGCCAAAGGAAAGGACCCGCTGCGGCGCATAGCAGCCCCCGTGCCACTGCTGTGCCGGAGGCCACCAGGCACTGGTGTTCCTCCAGCCGCAGAGCGAGTGCTGTGAAGTGATGGCTTTGGCATTTACTGTCTCTTTTATACATTAGTTGGCTCCACACAGGCTGAAGTTTTCTTTCTCCTCAGTTTTAGCAATAACTCGCGTCTGGGCAGCTGACATTTTTTATGGGAAGGCATAAAGTGTTTGAATAGCTGTCTGTAACTAAATGCCTGCTCTTGGGGAAAGGGTACTTTAAATGTAGACTTCGTTTGTCGGAATTATTAGAGCAGGATCCTTCACTACCGCAAGAAAGAGCTGAATGTAGCTAGTTCCACCAGCTTTTTTGCATTGCCGAATTAAACTTCCAGGAGGATCTGCAGACGGCACACAGCACTCCCTCCTTTATAGCCAGTTCTAGACTATAACAGCAGTCCTAAAACAACTGCTTTCAATTATTTTTGTAAACCAAACGGAGCCAAGAACGTGCTGGATTTATGCCCTAGTTCTAGAATTTGTCATCTGCCAAGCAGAATGATCCTACTGCTTCAAACCAGCCCCGGAGCCCTTGCAACCGCAGCACTTTGTACACCAGCACCGCTGGGTGTGGGTTTGTCTATCCAGACCCATGAGGGAGAAGAACAACAGTGGATGTTTGTGTTCTGCAAGCCCACCTGGGGTCAAAATAAAATAAATGGGTTAGAAGAAAGGCAAGGTCTGAGAAAACTTGTGAAATATCCAAGAAAAAAAGTATTTGACTTGTTTATAAAATGGATTGAATTATTTTATTGTCTACCTTTTTTCTCATTAAAATGATGAAAAAAAACCCTCTTTTTTTCTATCCAAGCATTTCTTGTCATTATGGATAATAATGTGTTTTCATCAGCAAAAGGTTCTTCTCTGTTGCTGTATTTGCATGCAGCCTGATGTGGGAAAGATCAGTTGTGCAGCATAGAGAGAAAAGATACGCTACTTAATATTTTCTAGCTTAAAAATAACCACCAACAGATCATAAAAAATACAATTGCAAAGAGACAAAAGGCAAAAATTAAATTAATACCTTAATGTCAGCTAGTTAAATACATATTCTTCCTTCCTATTCTCCTTGGGAATAACGCTATAATTTACTTCCTAGGCTGAGAGTCTCCGTTGAGAAGGAAAGGAGTGTTACAGCATCATTGTCTGATACAGTCACAGTAAAAATTTCCTTTGTAAAGTTTCCAGACTATTTCCTTGGTCTGTATTTCTTGAACACCGACCGTTTCTCTGACAAAGTCAGTGGACTTCTGGGTATGTATCATTATGTATTTAATGATGCATTTTTATCACCTTTTATTGCACAGCAATCCAGACCCTGTGAAGCAGGGGGGTCTTACCCTTGAAACGTAACGTAATGCCTTTCCGCTCACCGGTGGTACAAGCCTAGACTATCATGGGTTTAGAAAATGTTAAAATAAGACTAAAATAATGGTTGGGCTTAACCTCAACAGTGCTGTGGAATGACAGAATTTATGCAGCAAATTCATGTGATGTCAAATAATGGACTATAAATAATGTACTTAAAATTGTAAACAATCAGAGTTAGAAAATGAAAGCCAGCTGGTCCTGAACATCTCAACTCCAAAAATCCTGATCGGCTAAAGTGGAAGTTGTGTCAAAAACTTTGCAAACAGAGAGGCTGCATACTCTAAAACCACCAAAAACATGTGAAAACCCATCAGAGCAAGGCTAGATCTCTCTGTGTAGGGGTGTTAGGGGTAACAGGAGATCACAGCTGAAACACGGGGATTTTGTTGTTTGCTTTCTGAGGCAGATGGCTGCTTACCTGGCGTCACAGCTGCCATTTGGGTCAAATGAACAACAATACTCAGATGTCTTGTATTTTTAAATAATTTGTGTGTCTGTTGCTTAGGTCAATTTTATTCAAAAGCACAATTTGCGAATAATTCCAACATCAATCAGAGAGCTGATGAACGACTCCTAAGTGTGTCTGGGTCTGAGCACAAAGTAACCAGGTAACGGATACGGGATAAGGGTGAATGATGTACATGCCTTGAGACGTATTTTATCAGCTAATGCCAGAGATCAAAAGAAATTAAACTAAGGGAATGTTTGTCTGTCAGAATACACCTCTTTGGAGTAAGTAATAGGAACTTGTGCTTGAATGTTCCCCTAAGACCCTGAATTTGTAACTTGTTAAGTGATGCTACAGGGCTCAAGGCTCCTATTTCATGGTGGGGGGAGGCAGGGGGGAATCATATCCTGGGGCTACAGTTTGCCTTAAAAATGCCCTGTAAAGTGAGGTTCTGCTGCCTCGTTTACATGGGTAAGGGAGGGTTTTTCCTCAGTTGGATTTACCACGAGAAAAAAATTTTACACTTCAATTGGTTTTAGTAAGTGTCTGATGTGGAAGAAATGCTGTGAGCGTGCAGCTTCTGCTCGCTGTCCCTGCATGTCCCCATCACTGCTGCCTCCAGCTCTGGGAGCAGAGAGGTGCCAGCTCTGCCCACACACACTCCCTCTGACTCCTGGTACCATCTGAAAACATAAGTTCAATTCTGGGCCTGCCCTTTGGCTATTTTATCACAATTTTTTCTTGGTTTGATTTTTGTTTCAGGCAATACAAGAAAGATTACAGGCTTGAGTCAACCAGTGATCCTGTGTCCTGCTGGTCAATAGATGTAACTCCCTAGAAAAGAGTATTCTGGGAAAGAAAACTATGCAAATGATGCTCTTCCAAATATTTTTGATACTTTCTCTCATGAAGAAAATCCCACAGTTGAAGCCTTACCTGTTACTTTATATAAATGTCACAAATCTTTTAACTCAGAATAATTATACTTTTGAGATGAAAATGTGCCTGCTTGTTGCTATTTTGAAATGGTTTCTAATACTTGCTGTGGTTATGTTGTTGAAGATTTATGTGAATGAACTAAATAAAATTGACATTACCAGCTCACAGTTTGATATGGACACACAGACTTAGGTCTCTGAATAAAAGTAAGTAGTGGCATCACCCAATCCAACAAATGTGTCATGCAAACAGGAATAGATTTCTAAAATGTATTCCTTCTATCCCATTACAAATGGCGATGTTCTTGAACTAGGTGTTTTGTAAAAAGAGTATGAAGTTAGTTCACCATTGCTCTCATTTTTTTTATTTTTTCGAAAGCAAGGAGCCTTGCTGCATTGGGGTTCTTTGGCAATCGTTCTGTAACAAGGTTCAAAGCTGATGAAATTAGCAATGGGACCATGAGTGGGAATGGCGACCCAGCCCGGCACGGGGCTGCAAAGTTTCGGAGGCTCCTGTTTAAAAAAGCCTGCAAAACAGACATTGCCTTGTTGCGAAACAGACCTCTTGACTTGTTGCAAAAGACAGCATTTCAACCCTGAAATCTAGCAGCTTTTTTCTGGCACAGTTTCATACAACATTTTGCAAACATTGGAAGACATTTTACAAATAATGAAGAACTCAAAACAACACGTGGTGCACAGAGGTAACATTTCAGAGGAATCATACACACAGAAACCCTTGCCTTGCCTGCGGAATGAGACTTGCAGTTTTAGTCTTCAGGATTTTTTCATAACTCTTAATTTCAAAATTATTTTGTGTTGTAGAATTTCAGTTCCTGTGTATCTTTGAACCCATAAATATGCCAGCATTGCAGAAGGTTTAACAAAAGTCGCTCTCTATCCTGTCAATAATAAGTAACTGGAAAAACCATGTTATTTTAAAGCAGTGTACTAAAAGAGAATCAATTTCTTGCCAAAGTCAGTAAGATAAAGCAAACTATGTAATTAGAAGCCTGTTTTTTAAAAAAATTGTGTAGACATGATGCCAAGATACGCTTGTGTGAATTGCTTGTGCTTTCGAGATGCAGATTTGGGGATGCAGAGTTGGCTGGACAAATTACCCGGCAGACAATGTGGAATCTGGAAACTGGAACCACCAGATTTCTTGCTTTGCCACCTCATTAACAGGTTACCAATGTGAAAAGCAGGAGATTATTTCCATTATAAATGAACTTGGTATTTGAATTACATGCTGTGGCTGCTGGGCGTTATCAGTGGACTTTTAAACTAAAACTTCCCTGCTTTCTGTTACAGGGTGTCTGCGCGTTGCCTCCTCCACCCGCCTGCCAACCGCAGGGATAGCAAATAGCGCTGAAATGGGGAGCAGCGAGGCACGGCTGGAGGGCATCCCTCAGCCGATCCCCTCAAAATGTGCGCAAACCGTGCTCGAGAGCCGCTCTCCTAACCCGTCCCCTGGAACCTGCGATGCCCAAGGTTCCCCAGACAGCCCAGGCAGCCTGCTGCCCTGTTGATGCAACTCACCCTTCCTCAGGTCCTGCTCACCTTGATAGTCAGGAAGAGACCAGACGTCAGCTTCCTCGCAGCAACCTCTTACATAGCTGGGGTTTTTCCCCTGCTTCCTACAACTTGTCTGCAAAGCTGTTCCTGTCCTCTGGGCTGCATCCAATTTGTCTACGCTGTGTTGAGGTTCCGATTTCCTACGCTCCCTTCCCTTGCTCAAGAAGCTGAAGGCAGACACAGTAGTGAATATTTTGCATTCTATCATTTCTAATTCCGATGCAGAATACACAGTATTATCTCACCTCACACTCTTCTCTTTTAACCAGCATTGTACCAGTCGACGGTAGGACTAAAATTTTTCTCTAGCTGTAAGCCTCTGTCTGCTACTTCTCTCTCCCCTTATTGTTACCTTTAGCTACATTTGGAGTTATCTCCTACACAAGAATTCTTGGAAGAACTGCATATTAAAAGGGGATTTTTCTATCTCCATCAGTGTAGGTGGGAATTTCCCAGGCTGCCACAGGAGCCATGCAAAAGCGAGTACAGCCTCTGAGGTCAACTTCTGTCTGACAGTTCAGTCACAACCGACAAGACTCTTGCCACCTCTGGAGATTTGCCTCATCCCCATAAATAAAAGAGGAAAGCTCTGGCTCAGGCGGTGCCCTGTATTGCCTTGCGCCTAAACTTTGCCAGCCAGGTAGGTCAAGATCTGCTGTCCGCTGCTATGGTTTTTGGTTTTAATGGAGCAAGTGAGTACAGGACCAGCCCTGATGGGCAGTCCCACAGCTCCTATCTCAGGATCCAAAATGGATCATGGTATTTTATTTTATTTTATTTTAATTTTATTTTATTCCATTCCATTCTACCTAGTTCATTCTCTTAGAATAAAAATTCAGAACCATGTAAACTTAACCTTACTAGTTTCAGTTTTCTGGTCTTCTTTCACTCCTTCCTATTTCTCTCCCTGCCTTCCTCATTTTTCAGTAACTTACTACCTTCTGTAGAAACCACTGTTTTCTTTCATCATTTCTGTCTGAATTTAGCAGGCAGAGCCACGGTGACACTCCCCCTCCTTGCAAATACTGATCTTTTTTCTTCTACAAAACTTCTGCTTTCAGTAAAGGGTTTTGTTCCTTGAAAAGGCCCGTGTCTCTCATAAATTTAACAGTAAGTGTATTTTTTCTCTATTTTTTAGCTCTTTGATTTCTCTGTTGCGTTTTTGTTCACCTCTACCTTTGTTCTTTCAATTTAACCCCTCACATCTTCGGTCATCTCTGTTTTTCCCACTGCACTCCCCTTTCCTCATGTGTGTGTGCATTCCAGCTGACTTTCTCTCCTTGTCGTGCAGCAGTAGGGAAATTTTCTCCTTTGCCATGTGAGACCACAGTTGCCTTGCTATGGCTGATTTGATTAAAAGAAAACGTGAATTAAGAAAGAAATCTGCTAATTTTTTGCTTTAGAACAAATAGCTTACAATTTCTTCCAGTACAAAATGAATATATAAATAAATGGGATGCTTCTCGCCCTGAACTACAGACATAAATTCTGTTATGGGAACAGAGGAAGGAATTTTACTGGAAGACGGTAATGGCATTTCAGCAAAGAGTCCTACACAGAAAAAGATACTGCCCTTTTGGACAGCTATTACTACTTAAATCTGAGTGCCGTGTGGAACTGTGGTATTTAATTAATTTATAAAGATTTGGGCATTCAAAAGTTAGGTTCAAATTAAAATGCTAAAATACAGAAGTCCTGGATGGATTTTGAGTGATGGTGCTGCACCATCCCACAGCACGCTGCAGTCCAGGGGTCAGGTGGTTTTAAGTACTACTGAATTATACCAAAATACGCACTACTCTGTCCTCTGTCCTCTTGTGTGGAATTTCACAATGCATCTGGCTTTGTGAAACCAGAATTAAAACATTGATAGCTGTTGGAATAACAGAACAAGGCATTAAGTACTGATGCTTTTATTTAAATCACTCCTGACACTCAGTTATTGATTTAAAATTGGATTAGAATATTTCTGTTATGTTTTACAAAATCAAATTTTAAGTCAGAATTTTAAAACTAGTAAATTAATTCAGTAAAATGAGGATGTTTCAGGGGATGAGTGACATCTGTGCACACAAGCAGAACAGCTGTTTAGCACTTAAATTTGATCAAATATGCAGTAAAAACTCTCTGTGAGAATATGTTGTATCTTGGCATTGCCAAACATGGTAAACTTACGTATTTTTAATAGTTCTTAAACACTGAAAAATATAATTCTTTCAGACAAATACTGTGTATACCCATGAATTTGGAGGAAGGTGTAGTTGTTTAAAACAGACTGGAAACAATATAGTCCGTATGAACACCATCTATCAGCCCAGCTCCATTGTTATGAACAAACCAGCAAGGAATATCAACGCCGTGCTCAGGATCTCTTCTGTAATCCTTCTGCCAGCCCCTGAAAGGGAAAATACAGTCACGGGAGTATCGAAGCAGAAACTGCACTTTGATGAGGTAATCTTTCCTAAGTCTTTGCTAAGGACTTAATTGTTTTTTACCTTGTTACTGTCAGTTCATTGTTTTTAACAATCATTGTGGCATCTGGTTTCTTGGGATCAGACCCAGGATGAATTTCAAGTATGGTGAAGTCAACAGGGTGGAAAAACTGTCCTAAAAATAGAAGCCAAAATTACCATTTCAGGCCTGCTGCACACATTGTAATAGAAACAAACCAAACAGAATTTCTACATTCCCATGCTTTTTCCATGTCCCCTCAGAGTTTTGAATGGACAAGCAAACACCAAGTTTCAGGTAAGGCTGAACATATGCCAATGGTATTATTTTCTTTTCATAAACAAGAATTCTATGCATATCATCTAGATGTAAGTTCCAACTTCTGACTGCACAGTAAAATCAGTCTTTTCTAGATATTCTTCAAGATATCCTCACTTTGTGTCTCATAATTTAGTTGTATTTATTACATACTCTCCAAGTCTTTAGCTTTTTTTGATCAAATAACAAATGTGTTGATCTCTGCAATTTTTGCATGTGATTACGCTCAGAGCAAGACATCTACGGCATTTTCACACTCCTGCTAGGATTAGCTTTCGTACACTTCTGCCCTGTCTGGGCTGGTGCAGGATGCTGCTGGTGCTTTGAGTGCTATAATGAACACAGATTTTTAGATTACTCAGCAAAGTACAGAGGCAAAGTCAAAGATGATGAAAACAGCGATGAGAAGTGTAAGTCGGTGAACTGTACCATGGTGTACACACATCACGTGGGCTTTTGCAATTTTCCTGCTAGTTGAAATTCAGACCATAGCAGAGTAACTGTAGCCTGAGGAGACTGGAGCAGTAGAGCACAAATAACATTCCATCCTTAT